CTAAGCATGCGCTCTACCACTGAGCTATACCTACCCCCTTCTGTTGCTCTTTTAAATACAGAGCCATCAGTAGGGTTGGAGGGCTTCCAATATTTGGCTGCACCTGTTACCACTTATAAAACTTTACTATGCAATGTTTTATGAATATTATTGTACCGTCCTTTTGTTTATAATGATGATAGCCAAGCCCTTCTCATTTTGCAGTGATTGCAAGGAGGCAAGAGGAGAACCAGTATTCCAGTACTTTCCCTTGGATGACAAAGGTACCAACTGAGACAACACTGGTAAGGCCCAGTGACAATGTGCTTATATGACAAAGTCCCACAGGATCCGGAATGCTTGATTCCTGCTGTGACCCTGCTGGTTTGCTATCGTCATTCAAAAGATCTTATACTAACTAGCAAGCTATATACATCCATTCAAGGAAATATTTATAAATATGAGACTATCCAAATTCTTACATCAAACTCTGCTTGATAAAGACCACATTGCAGAATGGTGGGGGAAGAGAGTAGTTTCAGCACCCAGTAGCCTGCTCTCAGATTTCTGGAAAGACCATCCCCTGTAACATGCACCTAAATTAAAATACATAAATTGAAAAGTCCAAGGGGACTTCATCATTAAAATGAATTTTAAAACAGATTACTAAATTTAAACATTTCATTGAAATGATTTGTTGAAAGCTCTGCTCCCTTATTTTATTTTTTGGTCAAACGATTTTGGGGAGAGTTTATTGACCTCAGCATACTTCTCAAGAAACAGGCACCAAGCAATAGGCTAGGTTAAATCTGATCGAGATAGACGGCTTTCAGAGTGAGTTTAAAAGCTTATACAATCACTTTCCAAATCTCCTACCATTTCCATCACCCTCTTAACACACACAGGTGAGTGAAGACACACAGGTAAGTGACTAACAAAGGGAATGGAGAAGCTGAGACAGGGTTGCATTCTTCAGTATTTGCCTTAGGAGTACCTGACCCCATCTTCCCTTCCACGCACTTGTATTTTCTGCCCTTCAGCATCTGTCCATAAACACTAACCCAGAAATACATTTCAGATTTTTGAGAAACAAAATTACAAAACTCTCTTTTAAATATTACGATTAAAAATTCTGCTCCCTTATTTTCAAAACACTTTATTTCATCTGAATGTCCTACGGTACAAAAGTATTACATCGAACCTGTCACTCAAACAGCAGGTTCTGTCACTTCTTCATGAAGCAAATAAATAAAAAACAAATCATATCATGTAGAGCATATATAGAAAATGTTCTTTTACAGAAAAAAAAATATTTGGACATTTTATATTTAGTATAGCTTAGCAATCTAGTCTCTGCTGACAAATTTAATTAACTGTTTAGAGGGACAGTACACACACAAAAGGACTCAAGAGCCGGAGGACATTTTAACTCTTGTTTAATCAGACAACATGTCTGATTTAATTTTTTCCTTGTATTTTTTTCAGAAGATACTCCATCTGTAAATTCAAGTTTGGTTGGCCCTTTTTAGTCTTTTTACTCAGTATTTTGAATGTTTCCATTTTCTTCTTTTTATAGAGCCTTTGAGCTTCTTCTCTCTCTTGCTTTCTCCTCTCAAATTCCTGCAATTATTAACATATGTAATTTTCACCAGTAACAAACAGCAGATACTGTTCAATAATTCTGTTGAAATAGTTACCACCATGCAAACACTTAAGGTTTGTTTTATATTTTACAAAATATGAAGTGTTGTAAGTAAAGCAGTATACCATGTTTGCTTTTATACTACAATACATGCTATAACACAGAATAATGTAAAGTTATTAAACAGTTTTAATCATTTGTATACAAATAAAATTAGAGCACAGAAGAGAAGGCATATTTATCTAATGATTTCATCATTTAATCAGATCCACTGAAGAGTTAAAAGGGATTTTAGAGGTTATCTAGTCCATATAACACTAAAATCTTCATTTCCAGAATATCTGGTGTTCTTTCTAATTTGCAATCTGACAGATTTAATTCAAGAAGCACTTATTAGCTATATACTGCATCTATGTGCTAGGTATTATGATTTGATCTTTTAAGAATTACTATGCTCATTTGATTTCCTAAGATAAAGACTCAAATTCATTTGAGTTTAAGGAAAAATAATTCAGTTATATACACACCTGAAAAGCACTGCTTGAAATGCAATACTCTTTAATTAAATGTGAAAGTTTTAAAAGTTCTTTATGCAACATGTGCACTATTTTTCAATTTCCTCTGTAACACACATAGCCCCCAAATACCACAGCCTTACGTTGGTATGGTGATATAATTAACAAAGTGCTTTCATACACATCATAGCATATTCCATCCTTTCAAAACTTTTTATGCTAGAATTCATCTTCCTCTTACAGATGAGAAGCTGATGCTCAATTTTCACAAATACAAAAAGCATTTATACATACATAAAGGAAATTTTTAAAGAATATTGTTTTACAGTATAATAGTCCTTATTTCATCTGGTATACTATTTCCAAAGTTGACTGATATCATATGGTTGGTTATAAAAAAGCATACTACAACAAAGGTCCAGTTTTGCCATGGAGAATGTTCCTCCTTCATCCTAGTCTGCCATCGGTTTAAGAATAATTGTAAGAATTTTAGATGTTTAACTTCCAGATTTCTTAATTACACAAACTGTAAAGCTAAGACATAAAAAGAATTATGTCAGTGCCATCTTTGGAGTATTTCTGATTGATGTGCAATCCTTTTTAAAGTAATGGATTAATATAGCTTCAATACAAGAAATACGAATTAACCACAGATTTTTATTTTGTTGAAGTTGTAGATAATTGTGTTTTTACTCATTTAAAAAATGCTATTATAATTTTGGGTTTCTGAATGATAAGAAAGAGCGGTAACTTTCTGCTAAATTAACCTAGTAGGGTTTTTAATAAGCAAAACCAACTCTTTGGAGTAAAAAAATATTTTATTCTAATGCCTCCCTCTGACTTTTAACTTACTTTGATGTAAATTTATGAAAATCATCTATTTTTTTCTTAAATTAATAGTTCTCAAATTTTATCACACATAAGAATCTCTTGAGGCACTTGTTAAAATGCAACTACCTGGGCCATACTCTTGAGAAACATTGTCCCAGACGCTCATACTATTAACCTACAAGCAGTACCTTTAAAAGCCTATTGTTGAACTACCAGTACTACCTCCCAAGGGTAATACAAACAATCAAGGAATTTAAACATGTTAAAATTCTCCCGCTTTGCTCAGCTCACTCATTTATACAAATAATTATAGAGGGCATATTATGTGCCCTATATTAAGAAGAGAAGCTTACATATACACTAAAGATAAAGAAAAATGAATCTAAATATTTTAAAAGGAGATCTTACTTCTTTCTTAGCAGCACGCTTAGCTTGTATCCGCTCATATTCTTCCTGTGCTTTCTGATTTGACGTTTTCTTTTTATTCTTCTTTGGAATAGTAATGGAGCTTTGTGAGATAAATGAAGACAAGTAAGTCACAAGGATTAAAAATAATACAGCCAAAATTATGACAAAATTGTCAAATATAGTACTTGTATAATCAAACCTCAGTAATGCAACTTAAGAGGGGAAGACAGGTTGAAAGAAAGGGGACATTAATTTTATTGGTAAATTGTCCAAATAACATATTAAAAAAATATAGTTACAGTTTTCAAGATAGAAAAAGTGGCAAATGGAAAGTTTGGGAGAAATATTTCAACCAGGAAAATACAGAAAGCTCTCAAAGACCCTCAAATATTTAAAAATAGGAAACCAGCATATGACTAGCAGAAACGAGAGACTGAAAAAGGCATTAAAGGATGTTATGAAGGATGTTTTGGGTGTACATGAACTTTAATCCCAAAGCTCTTTGACCAACTTGTCTCTATTCCATTTCATTTGTTTTTTTAATTGCAACCTAGTCTATGTTCGCCACAAAAAAAAAATCCAGTTTAATAATAGTAGTATCAGTTAACACTGAAGTAGCACATCCCATGTATCATATGCCTTTTTAAGTACCATGTATGAACTAAATGAACTCATTTAGTCTTCACAACATCATGAGATAGGTTAGGGATACCATAGTCTGTGCAAACAATCCGTTCCAGGTTTGTGCAATACAGCAGCTCTAAATTACACACTTATTAAAAATTACTTTTTTTTAAAAAGTACATCAATAACAGGTGTCCATCAATGTCCAAATAAGTTAAATGGACTTGAGAGACTTAAATCCAGAACCCAGATCTCTTAATTCCCACTCCATTACTTCTTCTATTAAGCTAAACTGGCCTAATTCAGACATTTAAGCTAACAAGAGAGCCTCCATGAAAATATTTTCACATTACCTGTGACTTATAAAACGCTTTGAGAAAAATTACCATTCCTACAGAAACTGTCCTGTAATCTCTTTCATAAAACACTACTTACATCTACAGTGAAGAATTTCAAAAGAAGATAATACATACTTCCCTCTTACGCTACACTGTTGTCCTGGCTGAGGCTGCTCAATGCTACAATGTTCTTCAAACAAAGCTTGGTTAGTGCTACACTGCTCTTCCCGCAAAGGTTGAGTAACTTGTTCTTCTGACAGAGGCTGGTCAACTTGTTCTAACAAAGGCTGCTTAAATTTTCTAACTTGCTTCCTGAGTCTTTCCTCTTCAGCTAAATAGAGATGTTTCAGATGATCGGGGTATCGATCTGTGAATTGGGATTCCTGTGAGGTTTGAGCCTTCTTTTCTCTCCATAGCAATTTCTTGTAACTTTGCTGGATCTTTAGTTTTCTTCGAAATGCAAAGCCTTGTCCTATTGAAGAATATTGGTCATAAATTACTTTCTCAGAAAATAAGTTGCATGAAAAGTGTACTTGTTAATTTAAAATAGTTTTTACATCATCACATTCAGATACAAGAGTTACATTATTTTGCTTTAAAATGTTATTTCAAGAAAACAAGGTTAAGCTAATGGAATGACTAGTACGTTGGTCCTTTGCAAAAAGTCCAGAACAACAGTAGTTGTGCAGAACTCAAGAACTTCAAAGAAGGGAAAATAACTAGAGTGTTGCACAGCTCCAACTTATTGTACGCACAAATCAAACAAATTCCTTAATTCATCTAAAATATTTAATCTAGGTCTTCAATAAATATCTAAGGTAAAAAAATACTACTATTTTACCTTAGATAAAAGACCATACAACTGATTTTCTAAAGTAATTCAACATAAGAGGGAGGATGTTGTATAACTTTCTGAACGTCTGGCAATTATCAGAAGACTAAACTTATTTAAGATTTAAGGGTACTGAAAGACACTCCAAATGGAATTTAAGGGTACTGAAAGACAGCAAGGCAAAATGAAAAACACGAATGAAAGCGAAGAAGTAAATACAGTAAGAGAAGACTGGAGGGCTGTGGGGTATTTGTAATTAGCAAGGGTATGGGGCAGTACATACCTGACCCCGTCTTTCTATCCTGTACTGTACTACACGCACAAATTAACCCGTAGGTGCTCTCTATTTATAGTTTCACGGGGGAAATGCAGAGATAAAGCGTTCTGAACAAGAATGAAATTTAAAGTCAGGGCAGATGTTTAAAGAGTTAGCAACACTGCCTCGTCTTCCCATCCAGAGCTCTGAGAAGCCCACAGCATCAGAACATTTAAGAAAAGATTCCTCTGCCCCACGTAGGGCTCCGGTCTGGTTCCTAAACCCTTCCCTGCTTCGGTGGATCGTGTATCCTAAAATTTCGCAGGCCTGACGACTTGTAAAAGGCCGCCCTCTTACATACCTTCGCGAACGCTCCCCACGAAGGCCTGCGCATGGTTAGATCGCCACGTCCTGTGTTTCACATTCTTATTTCTGAATCCAACCGGTGAAACTCCTTCACCATGCGTCCCAAAACTCTCTGTTCGCCACCTTGCAGCCGGCCTTACCGGCGCCATGGCTAGAAAGACCACAACGGACGCAGTCAAAATACGTCATCAGGCAGAAGCAATCAATCGCCTAGCCATAGTCCAGATCGGAGTTCTACTTATCGGGCCTGTGCTACCGAGCTCCCGCTTTGCGGCCACGTTTGCGCCACCTACAGCCCGGGAGGGTGTGCGCCATGGCGGCTTCTCGCCCGCTCCCGGTGACCCAAGGCCTGCCCACATTGCGTGCTAAGTTGCAGGAGCTCCTGCGGTTCCTGAGGGAAGCCCTGCCCATTTCCAGTGCACATACGGTGGACTTCTACACGGAGTCTGTGTGGGAGAAACTGGTCGACTTGCCCCCGGAGACGGTGCTGGCGGCGCTGAGGAAGCCGGCGGCGGCCGCTGAGGCCCAACCCTCAGAGGCGCGCCCACTGATGGAAGCCGAGAGGGGCTCAGGTGAATGGCTGGTGGACGGGGCGGGCGGGGAGGCGAAGAGAAGGCCGGCCCAGTGAAGCGTGCCCCCTAGTGGAAGTCGAGCGGAAACGGGTGCGCGGCCGGGCGGGCAGAGGGGGCTCCGGAGGCACTCCGTGGGATGAAGCTGAGCCCTGCCAGGATCTCCCTTTCGTCCCTGGGTGTTTGTTATTTCCACAATTTAAAGAGAACAGGAAACAGAGCTAAGAGCTTCTTTCATTTAGTAACTCAGCAATAATTTTTTTGGCTGGAGGAAAACAAGGAGAACAGGGTTCTCACAATGCTTATAAATAACACAAGGAAACACAGCAGAAGATAAATCAACAATAAACCGTCAAGATCATTTCACATGATGACCAAGAAGAAAATGAAACGAGTCAAATGTGATAGCGATTGTGTGAGGAGGCCGCTTTAACTTAGGTGGTCTTGAGCAAGGAGCGTGAGGAAGCGCTGTGAGCCAAAGGGTTTTCAGACCCATGGATCTCAGAGGCCCTGAAACACGAAAGAGCGGGGCTGGTTGAGGTTCAAAAGGAAGCCTGAGTGGCTAGAGCCAAGTGCTGGGCAAAGGCAGGGGCGGTCAGGGATGTAGTTAGGGGCCGGATCGCCCAGGGCTCTCTGGGCCTTCGAGGGTACAGGGTTTGAAGTGTGATGGGAAACCTTTGGAGCCATTTAGTCAACGTAGTGACTTAATATAACATATTTGAAAAAGTAACTCTGATAGTTATTTGAAGAACAGACTAGCAGGGCAAATCTGAGGGGCCAGTTAGAAGACCATTTCAGTAGTACAGGAAAGGTGATGGGATCCTGGGCTAGGATGGTAGTGAAGACCTGTAATTTACCAGTTCATTTGAAACTGTTTATAAAGTACTACTGTGTGCCATGAAATTAAGTAGATTCTACTAAGGCAAGTACCTTTTGGAAGTAGAGTCCTAGGATTTCTCCTCATTTCCTTCCAGGTGTTCCCAATCTTGCACTTGCTCATGAACTTTAGAGCATCACTCGAGGGGCCTCCTATAATAGGTCTAGGTAAATATTGATTTCTTTAAAGTCATTGTTTATTGTTGAAAAGTTAGGCACTTCTTTAGTTTACTCTTATAATACCTAATACCTATGGTAACTTGGCAGCTTAAACTCCAAAAGAGCAGAGATTTTGCCTGTCCTGTTGTATACCCAGCACCTAGTAAAACACCTCTCATGCATTATTAAATGCC